TGTAGTTTTTCTTTTCTTTATTATTCTTTCCTTTATAGACAATTAATATTCAACAGAGGAGCCAAGAGCATACAATAGAGTAAAAATAGTCTCTCCCATAAATGTTGTTGGAAAAATTGGATAGGTACATAAAAAAAAAGAAAGAAAAAGAAAAAAGAAACTAGACCCCCAACTTAAACCATTCACAGGAACAAACTCAAAATGGATAAAAGACTTAAATGTAAATCATGAAACCATAAAAATCTTGGAAGAAACATAGGCAGCAAATTCTCAGACATCTCTCATAGGAATATATTTGCCAATACATCCCCTAGGGCAAGGGAAACAAAGGAGAAAATAAACAATATCAAAATAAAAAGCATCTGCACAATCAAAATGAAAAGGGAGCCCACAGCATAGAAAATATAGATGGCAATGATACATCTGATAATGAGTTAATTTCCAAAATATATAAGGAACTTATACAATTTAACAAAAGGAAGAAAAACAATCCAATTAAAAAATGGACCTAAAGAGACACTTCTCCAAAGTTGACATATGGAAGGCCAAGAGACATATGAAAAAATGCTCAAAGTCACTGATCTTCAGAAAGATGCAAATTAAAATGACAATGAGGTATCACCTCACATCTGCCAGGATGGCTATCATCAACAAATCAGCAAATGACAACTGTTAGCAAGAATGTGGAGAAAAGGGAACCCTAGTACACTGCTGGTGGGAATGTAGACTGGTACAACTATTATGGGAAACAGTACAGAGTCTTCTCAAAAATTAAAAATGGAATTCCCATTTGACCCAATGATCCCACTTCCAGGAGTGTATCCTAAGAAACCCAAAACACCAATCAGAAAGAAAATATGCACCCCTATGTTCATAGCAGTGCAATTTACAATAGCTAAGATCTGCAAATAGCCCAAGCGCCTATCAGTGGATGAGTGGGTAAAAGAGCTGTGGTACATTTACCCCATGAAATACTATGTGGCTTAAAAAAAGAAGGATCTCTTACCCTTTGAGACACATGGAGGCACCTGGAGTGCATTATGCTAAGTGAAATAAGCCAGTTAGAGAAAGATAAGTATCACATGATCTCACTCATATGTGGAATCTAATGAACAAAATAAATTGATGAACAAATAGATCCAGAGACATAGAAGCATGAAACAGACTCATGAATCTCAAGAGGGAAGGTCAAGGGAGAGATTAACCTGGGAATTTATATGCATACTAGAGGTCCGATGCATGAAGATTCATGCAAGAATAGGCCTTCCTTCCCTCAGCTGCTGGCACCGGCTTCCCTCTGGCACCCAGGACCTGGGCTGCTTCACTCTGGCCACTGCCACGCACCTGGGACCAGGCTGCTTTGCTCAGGCTGCCGCTGCCACCCACCGGGACTGAGGTGGTCAATGCCACCTCATGGCAATCAGTCATTTGGTTGTTTTGGTTGTGACGACTCTTGGCCTTTTATTATTATGATATGCATAGCTCTTGGACACAAGACAATAGTAGTGAAGGCCTGGGAGGGTAGGTGGTGGGGGATGGAGGAGGTCAATAGCAAAAATTAAAAGGGGACATCTATAATACTTGCAACAATAAAGATACATTTTTTAAAAATAAACAAAAACAAGGGGATTCTTATTCAGTATTTCAGATAAGAAGTTTTTTTATTTAAATAAGTTATTTCGCCCAAGATAAGATATTTGAAATTATAAGATAGAAATTATAAGAGAGTGAGCTAATTTCGCCCAAGATAATAGCTCACTCTCTTATAATTTCTATTCTGTGTTCTCTATCAAAGTGACCCACATTGTTCATAAAAAAATGCCTTCACTTCTGCATAATGATTAAAAAACACTTGCCCATTTTCTGTACTCTTTACTGATTATCATTGCTTTATTAATGTATTTTCTATTCAGATAGTCATTACAAGTAATTAATTTTGGATTTAATTATATTATTTACTTACTAAGGATACACCTGGCTATAGTCATAGGGTCAATTATTTTAAATGGTCATGATTCTCAGCTCATAGCTGGCCAGCACAACAGTGGTGGCAGGAGCCTTTCCTGCCTCTGTGACAGATCTAAGGATATCCGACTAATAGGGAGTGGACCTAAGCCGTTAGTTGGACATCCCCTGATGGCTCCAAGGATGCCAGAGGGATGTCTGACTGCCAGCTCAGGTCTGTTCCCCAGCGGAGTGGGCTTACGCTGGCAAATGGACATCCCCTAAGGGGTTCCGGATGTGAGAGGATGGAGGTCAGGCTGAGGGACCCCCCCAGTGCGTGAATTTCTTAGCTATATATCCATACCTATAATAATAAAAGCATAATATGCAAATTATTATGTGAATTTTCATGCACTGGGCCTCTAGTATGGTTATAATAGCAGCATCGTAAAAATTGGACTAAGTATAGTTTACTAATTATTTGATAATTCAGAAAATATTTTAGCATGTTGCTATGAATCAGGAGGAAATTTTGTAACATAAAATAGTTGTGTGGGTGGGAGTGGTCCTGGGAAAATTTTGCATGTTTGTGCCAGTATGGATAAAAATGTGGAAGTCTTTTAGATAGCTCTGTGGAAAGCATATTGTAAATTAACTAGAGGCCAGATGCATGAAATTCTTGCAAGAAGCTCGGCCCCCGCCGCCACGGGGGCCAAAGCAAAGGCAGCTGCAGTGGCAGCTAGGAGCCTCTGCTGCCTCTGCTTCGACCCCTACCCACCACAGCAGCTGCCTCTGTCTTGGCCCCCACCGCTTTGGCTTTATCTGGAAAGTCATCTGGAAGGACATCCAGTCTAACTAGCATATTACGCTTTCATTATTATAGATTGAAAATGTACAGCATTATAGAATTAAAGTATGAAATATGTATACCATGTACCATTGCAATGATTGGAGTCATTAGACGGGAGGTTCTTTGAAAGTTAATAGGGTCTATTATCTCAAAGTAGGTCTGGTGCATAAAATCCGTGCACAAGTGTGGGATGTCCCTCAGGCTGGCCTGTGCCCTCTCACAATCCTGGGCCCCTTGGGTAGGGTCTTTAGGCTGGTGATCAGGGCCTAGCAGGGCTTTCCTTCCTCCAGCTGTTGGCAGCTGGTCCCGCCCCCGCTGCCGCCACTACTTGTAATTTATGTGGTGCTGCTCCCCCTCCCGCCACTGGTCACTTCCCTTTGTGGGTGACTGGCATGGGGTGTGATCACTTGGTTGGCCTGGGTCTCCCTCAGTGGGATGATCATGGACAATGGCAGGGCCCTCCCGCCAATTGCATCGTACCCACATTGGCTGGCCTGGTGCCAGCATGTGTTATAGCATGGTTGTCTGGAAGGTCATCCGGATGGTCATTCTGCTGTTCGGTTGATTTGCATGTTATGCTTTTATTATTATAGGTATGTATGTATAGCTAGAAATCATATGAGACCAGACTGCTACAATTTTATCAAGTCGATGTTTTAAACATGGATTCTTAAAATTCTTAATTCAGATTTGAACTTGAGATAACGTGTTCCATACCATCCGACATCCTTCCTTTCTTCCTTTTCCTTAGCTAACATATATTTAGCTCCTAAAAGACAATGTCTATTGAGATTCCATTTGGACATAAATATTAGATAATAATATATGAATGACAAAAATATTCTTAAGTCCATAGTTCCTGGAAGCCCTGAACATCAAATTGAATTCATATGAGCGCTTGCAGGGCATTTTGTATTCTTTTAGGGAAACAACAATATCTGTGAAGCTACCACACAAAGTCTTAGCTGGAGTTAGTTTTAAGTTTCAACATCAGGTAGCACTGTATTTTTGACATCTTAACTTTGTGAAAAACAAAACACAACCAAAAAACAAGTACTGCATGAAAATATAATGTGGAAAAAGAAATGCAGGTGGTGGCATCAGATAGAATTTTCAGGATTAAGAAGCTCTGAAATGCCCAACCAGGGCACATCTTTAGCAATTGTGGTTATTAAAAAAATAAAATAAATAAAAACATTATTTTTTTTCAATATGTAGTATATTTTCAAACATCTATGAAGTCGTTAACACTTAAATATTTATTAAGCTATTTAAACCTAGGTACTTAATAAACACTGTTAGGTGTTTCTCTTGGTCCAGGGGCACCATGAAAATAATTCCTGAAACACTAAAGGCAGCATGAATTGAAAAAATTTGGGAACTTCTGACTTAAGTGGTACTCATTTTAGAAACTCATTAGCCTTATCATATTTTTATAAATACAGCCATTTTTCATTATTTTTTAGATATATAGATTGAACCTTGGGAGTCTGATAATTTACACAAATTATCCTGATTTACTCCCTCAGGCCATCCTATATAATAAAAGTATAGTATGCAAATTGTCTCCTCGACTGGGAGTTCATTTGGGGGAAGGAAGGGAGGCCCCAGCCAGAGGTGGCGGCAGTGACGGGGACCCTACCTGTGCACAAAGTTTGTGCACTGGGCCACTAGTTCTTGTATATCTTCTGACTTCATACAAGTTCCCATTTGTTTTGTATATCATCAGAGCAATATGAGTTGTATGGGTATAGACTATGCATGTGGACACACTGTGTGTGGAGCCATTAATATATAAGGTTTAAGTCAAATACCTATTAGCTAATACCAGACTACCTAGCTTCTTAGCATGGAGTAGATTTTCTATGTTGTTTACAAGATATTTTGACTTATTTTTTAATGTAGGTTCACATTTTTAGTATTGTTAATTTGTAAAATACCCATTTCAGCCATATTATTCAAATAGGTACGATAATATTGTTTATCCTGAGTAATTACATATCTACTCATAATAGAATTCTTAATATTGCTAAAATCTATAATTGTAATATTTTAAAAATTTATCTAAGAAGGATAAACCATAGATATTTTAAATTATTTAAATCATTATTTATTCTAAAACATTTTAAATGTGTTAGTTGATATTGAAATTTTAAAGTAATGAGTTAAAAGAGCTTATGTTTTTTATGGTTTACTTAATTGCTAGGAGGATATCACTGGCTACTCCTCGACAGCTTTATAAATCTTCCAACATGACTCAGCGATGGCAAAGACGGGAAATTTCAAACTTTGAGTATTTGATGTTTCTTAATACGATAGCAGGTAAGACATCTCATTCTTTAATCTCATAATCTATTTTATTTATCAAAATCATGGGTAATGTGACTTTATGGAATACATTTTCCTCTTTGGAATTCAAATGCAGCATTATTAGACTAAATATTGAAGCACTCACATGAAATGTTATCAGAAATTATACAAGCCAGTACCAAGTTTTTAGATGCATTTATTGTTGAAGAGGCTTTTCCCTGCTGTCCTCTGCTATTTTGTCTGCTGACAGCTTTGTCTGAGGTTTATTAGAGTTAACAAACCATTGCCAGAGAGTGACTGGAAATAATAATGGGAAAATGCAATTTCACTGTTTTGTCATTCTCAGCAATAGCAGCTAGACAGGAGAATAACAACAGGATTCTTCCTAGTACAGATGTCACCTGGATATGGCATGATTGGGTCACAGCATTATTTTATTTTACTTAAAATCTTCAAATAAAAATATAAAATCAGATTACATTTCTAAATGATGAGTAACTGCCATCAACCTTGGTAGTACCATGCTTATAAATTAAAAGAGGGTAGTGGTTTTTTTTTTCCTGCTAAATCAGTGGTTGTCAATGGTTAAATATCTCTATGAGATTTAAGTACCTCTTTCTTTTTTCCTAAAGTTAAACCTCAAAAGCTCTTATTCAGGTGGAATTATAGTTTACTTTTGTAAATCAGGCCCTACCAAACTGTTTGCAATCAGATGAATTTAAATAACTACATTATTATTGTTCTGTTATAAATGCATGCTCAGAACCATGCATATAGAGCTATATTCTCTGAATTATCGCTTAAAAGGATTACTGTGTAATATTATTCTTTATAAATCTATCATATATATGTGAATATAAATACTAAAGGTATATATTAAATATGAATGATAGATATGTATTAAGTAGATAGGCAAAAGTACTCAATTTATCAGTAAAAAGGGATAAAGATGTTTGAAATGTTTTGCATTTTAATCATTTAATAAATATTGTAATATTAGTGCATTTACTAATAAGATACTAGTGGTAGAGCCAAAAGGATTATTTTATTAAATATATTAAATTTTATTGTATATTTTATATACACATGTCCATTGTATACATGTCTTCTGATATCTTCATGATATATCTATATATATAAAAGCCCAATGACCAGAATGGAAGAATGACTAGAACAACCAGTGGCTATCAAATGCACTGTGACAGCCAACCAGCCTGATCTGGGTTCCGATTAGACCCCCCCCACCCATGGCTGGCCTGGCCCCCCGATTGGCCACCATCTCCAGATCAGAGGTGGGGCTGGCTGGCTAACCACCTGCTACCACTCCCCCAGCCTGCCCCACCCCCAATAGGCCTCCATTAGGGTGTGCTGGCCAGACCCCACCCATGCACAAATTCATGCACCTGGCCTCTAGTTTTCTCTAATAAAGAGGGAATATGATAATTGACCATCATACCATCACAAATATGGTGGCACCCATAGCCAATAAGGAGGGAATATGCTAATTGACTGCCACACCTTCAAAGATGGTAGTTCCCATAGCCACTGGCAGTGCCCAGTCCCCTCAGCCCCACCAGGGCAGCAGGCACGTGGTATGGCCAGGCCTGCTCCCAGGTGGGTCCGGCCACTCTGCGCACCTGCCTCTGGAGTCTGCCAGTCCCCTCAGCCTCCCAGCCACCAGGGCTGGCCCAAGGCACATGCAAGCCTCAGATGGTTGATGCCCTGCTGATTCCTGAGGTGCAGGCAAACCTTGGATGGCAGCTAGCTGTCTAGTTGCCCAGGACTGCCCAAGGCTCAGGTGATCAGGGCCAGCTGAGGCTTGTGCTACTGACAGTGGCAGCAGCAGAGGTATGATGGGGGTGTCGCCTTTCCCTGATTGCCAGGTTGCCTCCCACCTCTAAGGGCTCCCAGACTGTGAGAGGGGAAGGCCAGGCTGAGGAACCCCCTCCCTTCCAGTGCATGAATTTTCATGCACTGAGCCCCTCTAGTCCATATATATAAAAGGCTAAGTGACTGACCATACATCCGTCTGACCATCCAACTGACCAACTGGTTGGCCACTACATATGATGCACACTGGCAATTTAAAAATAAACGTTGACTCTTGTGTGCACAATATATATAAACCTCTCACTGGCACAAATCTCATGCATGTGTTTTGATCTAGCATTGTCGATTGTGAATTTGGTTGACACTTCTATTATAGAAAAAGGGTGAAAAGTGATATTAAAATATATCTTATAATTAACTTCCTTTCAATGCATGTGAATCTGTGCACTGGGCTACTAGTTAGAACTATTAATAAGAACCAGATTATAATGACCCTGATCTTAGACTTTTAGGCTTGGGAATTGAAGGGGATGCAGTATGGACCTTTAGGACAAACTGGTATCTATGTATGGCATGAATTAGAAATGAGATAGCTTAAAGTTAGGGACAGCTCTTAGGAGAGTATGACAGGACTCTAGACATGAAGTCAATTTGTTCATCCTTTTATTAAGTATTACTGAACACACACTCTATTTAGCACTGACACTACAAAGGAGAGAAAAGTATAGTTTCTGCCTTTGAAGAAATCATGGTATAGTTAGGGAAAAATACATGTATACTAGTGATTCCAATAAAAAGTGATAATTATTATAATTGGAGAGTATACAAAGCCATTTAGAGTCATAGATTTAGAGGCACTACTTACAACCAAGAGATCAGGGAAAGCTTCTCTTAGGAGACACTTAAATTGGAAATTGAAATATGAGTAAGAATCCACTAGAAAGTAAGCAGAGGGCATTCCAAGAAAAAAGAAAAATGTGGAATGAAGAATAAATGGCAGAGAGAAGTATGATTTCATTCTACAAAAGTAGGAGACACTGTAATGGTGAATGGTTACAGGTGAATGGTTGGCATTGTCCCCTGTCCTGTAGTACCAGTATCAGACTCCTTCTCAAACCTACTGAATTAGAAGTGGTTTGGAAATGGGCTTAGAGATCTGCATTTTAACTAGTCTTCTAGTTGTTTCTGATATATAATATTTTAGCATTATCATTCTAGCCATTTAAGATCTAATTGTCATAACAGTATTTGCACTTAAATACATTTAGAATATATAAGAAAGTTTGTAATTAAGTTCCATTACCTAAAATAAAAATTTAGAAAATAGGATGAGTTTGTCTTTTCTAGGGGAGCTTCTTAGAAAATATGGGCTTTAAATTAACTCAAATGATTTTTTTCATGCACAAATGATTATCCTGACAAAATAACCTTTATACAGACGTAGAATGACAATTGGAAAAGGTTATGAATATAAACATCTTGAGGTACTATTCCTGGTTATAATTATAATTCTTTCCTTGCCATCATCCTGAAGTTTTAAGTGGGAGTGCCAGTTTGTACTGAACACCAGCATTGAAGATTTGGATAATGGTTTCATAGAGAAGCTTCACTAAAGCCAAGATTGAGTACTTGTTAGGGAAGTAAATAGAATTGCTTGTTTTACTGAATTGTGGAGAATACTGTTATTCATTCATTTCTTCATATTGGAACACTTTTCAGAGTTTTCTGAGGATCCTAGGATAAAGGCCAGAATAAAGATGTTTAATTGTAACATCACTTTTACTAACAAGGGTTCCACTAAATAATCTATATAATAGAGTTTTAAGAATACAGTTATTGTTCAGGGTACACTAATTTAAGTCAATTGATTGAAACAAGATTTATCATTTCTTCAAAGTATGTTAGTATTTATATGATAAATTTTCTAAGTAATCCATAGCCAGAAATGTTTGGTTTATATTTTATCATAGTCTTTTTAAAAAATATCTTTAGTTATTCCTAATATAAAATTTCAGAAAAAAATAAACATCTTTATTGTTTCTTTGTTTTGTTTCATTATTTCTTTTTGAAACATTTTTAATATTAATATCAACATTCTGAAAAATAGTAAATAGCCCAGCCTGGCCAGTGTGGCTCAGTGGTTGAGCATTGACCCAGGAACCAAGAGGTCACTTGTTCTGTTCCCAGTCCAGTCAGGGTAAATGTCCAGATTGTGAGCTGGATCCCCAGTGTGGGGTATGCAGGAGGCAGCTAATCAATGATTCTCTCTCACCATTGATGTTTCTTATATATTTCTCTCTCCCTCTTCTTTCTTCTCTGAAATCAATAAAAATGTATTTTTAAAAGAAAGAAAAATTGTAAATAATTATTAATACTCATTGAGCAATTTTCAGTGTTCTAAATATTTATTACTCTAAGTGCTTTATGTGTATTAACTCATTTAGTCCCAACAATAACCCAAGAGTTAAGTTCTGTTTTTATCTCCATTTCACAAATGAGGTAGTAAGGTACAGAGAAGTTAACTAACTTGTCTAAGTCAGAGCTGAAAAGTGATGACGTCAGGAGTCTACCTGCTTTAGGTAGTTTGACTCTAGTACTTTACTCAACTACTGCACTAGACTGTGTAAGGGCATTCATCGCACAATTTAATTTCACTTCTAGCCATTAGCTTTAATCTATTTACTACCTTTAAAAAAAACCTAAATAATGTTTTTAAATAATTTCATCAAATGAAGCTCTTGAGGAAAAAAAGTCGAGCCTCTTAAAGTTCATTTATTGTTATGACTTCTATACTAGAAGTGGGCCACAATTATCATCTCTCATGTAGAACCTGGTACTGTTTTTAGGAGGTCCCAGATCCCAAGAAACAGACTCTAAAAAAAAGATTTGCATGCAGGAAATTTATTGGAGAGTATCTTTGGGGTTGACATTATGGGGAAGTGAAGAAAGTAGGACTCGGTAAAAAAAGAAATTGAACCCCAAGATAGTTGCTACAAAGGCCTCAGCAGATCCCACAGGGAGCCAGGAACTGGGATATAGCTTCAGAGTTGTCTTGCCATAAAGCAAGGTGGTTAGGCCTTCATTACTCCACTCAGCAGTGATTAGGTAGAGATATGAGACCATAGGTTAGAGGGCTCTCTTCTGATGGTGGTGACTCCTGGAGAGGGACTTGGCTGAGTAGC